TCAACAAGAAAAAAACAAATAACCCCATTAAAAAATGGGCAAGGGACATGAACAGACATTTCTCATAAGAAGACATACAAGCAAGCAGCAAGCATGTGAGAAAATGCTCAACATCACTAATCATCAGAGAAATGTACATCAAAACCACAATGAGATGCCATCTCACACCAGTCAAAATGGCTATTATTAAAAAGTCAAAACACAAACAGATGTTGGCAAGAATATAGAAAAAAAAGAGAATGCTTATACACTTTTGGTGGGAATGTAAATTAGTACAACATCTATGGAAAACAGTATGGAGATTTCTCAAAGGACTACAAATAGAACTACCATTCGACCCAGCAACACCACTACTACCCAAAAGAAACAAAATTGTTATATCGAAAAGACATCTGCTCTTGTATATTTATCACAGCACTATTTACAATAGTAAAGTAATGAAATCAACCTAAGTGTCCATCAGTGTAAGATTGGATAAAGAAAATGTGGTGTATATACACCGTGGACTACTACACAGCCATAAAAAAGAATAAAACCATGTCTCTTGCAGCAACATGGATGGAGCTGGAGGCCAGTATCCTAAGTGGAATCACTCAGAAACAGAAAATAATATACTGCATGGTCTCACTTATAACTGGGAGCTAAACAATGGGTACACACGGGCATACAGAGGGAAATAACAGACAGTGGAGATTCCAAAAGGGGGAATGATGGGAGGGTTGAAAAGTTACCTGTTCAGTACAATGCTCACCATTCAGGTACACTAGAAGCCCAAACCTCACCATTATGCAATATATCCATATAACAAACCCATACACGAATGCCCTTCCTCTTAATAATAGTAATAATAAAGATTAAAATTATATGCACTTACAATGAGCAGGGTTTGCAGGACTGGAAGGTGCTCTGTGTAATTCAGGAAGTGAGTAAGGGGTCAGTGAATATAAAAGCCTAGGACAATATTATACATTGCTGTAGACTTTATGAACACTATATACTTAGGCTATAGTAAATTTATTTAACAATAATTTCATTTTCTCAAGAATAAATTAACCTTACCTTACTGTAGCTTTTTTTACTTCATAAAATTTTAATTTTTTTAACTTTTTGTCTCTTTCATAATAACTTGAAACACAAACACATTGTACAGCTATACAAAAATCCTTTTATATATTCTTTTTATATCCTTATTTATATCCTTTTTAATATCCTTATTATTTTTCTCTATTTCTAATTTTTTTCTATTATTTAAACTTCTACACTAAAAACTAAGACACAAACACACATATTAGCATAGGTCTTCACAGAGTCAGGATCACCAGTATCAATGTTTTCCACCTGCACATCTTGTCCCACTGGAAGGTCTTCAGGGGCAATAACATGCATCAGCTGTCATCTCCTATGATAGTAACGTCTTTTTCTGGAATATCTCGTGAAGGACCTACCTGAGGCTGTTTTACAGTTCAGTTCTTTATAAGTAGAAAGAATATACTCTAAAATAACTATTAAAAGTATAGTATAGTAAACACACAAACAGGTATTACCGTTTATTATTATCATCAAGCACTATGAACTGCACAAAATTGTATGTACTATACTTTTATATGATCAGCAGTGCAGTATGTTTGTTTACACCAACAACACCACAGACATGTGCGCAATGCATTTGTGCTACAATTTTACGGTGGCTCTAATGTCACTAGGTGATGGCAATTTTTCAGCTCCATTATAATCTTATGGGAGTACTGTCGTGAATTGTTGATGGAAATATCATTATATGGTGCGTGACTGTATAATAAAACCTGTTCCAGTTTGGACCATTGGCCAGAGACACCAACAGACACAATGTAATCAAGATGTAGACCCCAATGTCAGCCTTCTAGACACAGATGAAACAACACCCAACTTAGCTCAAGAACACTTTCTAAAAGCAGGAGGCTCCGGTTCATCAATCTGTGGGAACAAGGAGAACCACAGTAAGTGCAGAGGAAAATCATTATCTCTGAACTTGTCAGAAGAAAAAACCCATGAAGGATTGCTTTTGAGAACGTGAATTCTGGGGAAGGCCACTGGAGGCCACAGCCACTCCAGAAATATGGAGGCCACTACTTCCCGACATGTGGTGAGTCCACATCTCCACTCACTTCCTGTCAGTAGGTGTCACTTGAACAAATTTTCTCACATCCTGGCCAGTCACCTGGAACCTGGAGGCAGGTCTTGCTTTGCACACACCTCTGTCAAAATGCGTATCAGACAATTATGTTATGGACTGAATGTCTTAGGTGTTACGGAGTAGGTGTTATGGAGTGAATATTTCTGGATCCTCCAAAGCGCACTCTCTCTTTCTCTCTCTCTCACACACACACATATATACCCCAAGGAAAGGCCATGTGATATCTTAATTTTTAACTTCCAGCCTCCAGAACTGTGAGTTAACAAATTTCTCTTCGTTAAGTCATCCAGTGAGTGGTATATTGTTATGGCAGCCCAAGTAGACTAATACACTAGGTTATTCTGCTCCTGACCCAACTTACTGAGTTAGACCTTCTTTGGTCCCCACATCTCTCCCCAGGGACAATGTGTGAGGCCTGGAGCTATGTCAATTTTTCTGTACTCAAAAGTAGTGCCCTCCTATATTTACTTCTTGTTTGTTTTATTGGAGATCCTGGTAGGTATCTTTCTTCTCTTTGAACTGTAAATAGAAATAATCCTCCTTTTTGAAGTAGGATTTTCTTTCTGAACAAGCTTATTAGAATAATTTCCTACCACTGATCTTCTGGCATGGCAATTTCAATTAAAAAATCATTTGAATAATTATGTTAAAATACACAGCAGCTATATTTCTTAGGTTAGTGTAGTTTGCAAACAAAAGGCATATATGTTTTCCCGGTAACCTCAATATGTGTGTGTGTGTGTGTGTGTGTGTGTGTGTGTGTGTGTGTGTTTTAATTTCCCTACAAATCACTGCTAACAGCCAAGGAAAGTGAGGCTATATTCTTGAAGGTCTGGGAGATATAGTCCCCTGTATGTGTATGAAATTTGTTTGAAATTTCATGTACTATATTTAAAATTCATGTTACTTTCTATTATGTAATATATTCTCATTTGTTTCAATATACAAAAAATACTTTAAATTGATTATTTAAATGTATGCCATGTTCATCCCAGAGCTTAATGTCACCCTTTATACATTCGTACACTACTAGTTAGCTTATTTTTCTTGAGGAGAGAGAAATGTATTACCGGTATTCTCAATAGGGACACTTTCAAGGCTGAGACAGCAGGGCTCATGAAGAACTGGAACAATATAAACCATTACTGAGACTGCAACAGCAACCGTAATGACCAGAAGGAGGCAACAGATTTAATGATAATGGAAAAACACAACCTTTAGAAATCGGTGAGCCCCTGTCATCTCTGTGCCTCCCACGTGCCATTAAAAGAATATAGAATTAATGCATTTTTTATCAGAATTAAGGTGTTTTGCTTTCTGTTTATTGTTTTTTTATTTTCCAAAAATACATAATTTTATTTTTATTTGGTAGAGAGCAGCAATTCATTTTAGGTAATATGCCACCACATAATAGGAATAGAGAAGGTAAGAAAGATAAATATACACACAGAAGTAAGTCATGGGCAAACCTAAACAACTAAGAAAATAATTAGCAATGAAATTAAAAGGAGAAAAATGCCCAGGGAAGCAGAAATAAATTTTCCTGCTCTCCTACGTCTAAAGAGCACAATGAGATAACAAAACACAAACGCTAGTAGATGGCAGAAGCTATTTACCTAAATCAGGATTGAAGCTGGGAGGCATAGCTTAGGCACTCGGTCCAGATCCCAGGCATTTGAAACTCCAAGTTGCAGAATCAATTTTAATCTTAAAAACCAAACTTCTTCGAAATTCCATTCTGTAAAAGTGAGGTTGGCTACTATTCAAAGTTTTATTCGCTTCTTAAAGAAAAGCCAGAATATTCCTACCACTGTGTTGATAAGCAAAGGTAACATTGCCTCTATCAGGGGCTTTTTCTCTTTTATTTATGTCTCTGCCTTTTATGTTAAGGGATACTTTTAAATGTCTAATGATCCTGGGATGCTCATTGAAACTTAGTAGGATATAAATCTGAGATTCAAGCAAAGAAAAATGGCTCCAGTTCCTGTTTTTAAATACTTCTTCACTTCACTCTCGACTAAGCCTGATAGCCCAGAATTTCATGTTAGTTATTCAATATCTTCAGAAAAATAGTCTTTTTCCACAAAAGTGGTTGGAAAGGAGTGGACACCTGACTATTCCAGGTGAAATGGGAAATCTGAGAGTATAACCACACTTAATTCAATTGTACTTTGTGTTTTCTGTATAAAGTCTCCTACTCCTACCCTCTCTCTGATCTTCTGAGGTACCAGGTATCCTCCTTACTGAGACTTTTGGTGCACCTTCATTTTTGTTGGCATTTGCCTCTGTGGGCCCTTAGAATTTGTCTTTCTTCAGTTCATTTAAGTCAGTTACCACTTGTTCATTCACTTGCATTTTCCAAAACATCTCCCATGCTGTTATCCTTTGCCTGTTCTATGTGTCCTTTGGGGTTCATAACTTTTAAAAACAATTTTACTCTCATTTCACTAGGTACTCAGAAAGGAACAGAGAAGTATGTTTCCAATTCACCATACTTAATTATCAGTCTAGCTTTCACCGATATTTCAGAGCAATTATAAGGTGCCCCGGGCAGAGTTCCCATCTGTCTTGTTCACGTCTCTATATTTCTCTAATATATGGTGAATACTCATTAAGTGTGTTCATCAAGTGAAAGGGAGAAATAGGAAGAAACTGAAAAACTGGCATGAAAGGACAAAAATTTAGCATTTCACCACAGGGGGCAGTGTCTCTATTCATAGCTAACCTTCAAGGTTAGCTCAAAACCCTGGGAAAACATCTGGTAAGAGATCTGATTGGCTGATATCTGGAACAGAGATTTAAATTTCATGGTAGTGTTTTTAGTGTCACTCTAAGCTCAAGGGAGTTTCTTGAAGCAAAAAAAAAAACCATTCAGGAAATAATTCTTTGCTGATAAGGATGCTCCTTGAACGTTTATTAATAATCTTGTGGATGCAGCTGACATGTGAGTCTTGGGAGTTTCTGACTCTTCCGTAGCGAATTCTAAAGGGGAGGAAATTCTGTGAGAACAGGTGAGGCTTTATCGGAGACTATGAAAAGAGGATTACAGAAGGAAAAAAGCTAGAGAAGGAGGAAGGAAAGGAAAGACACAGATGCAGGGCTGGGAAGTTTGGTGATAGAGCGTCCAACACAGCTCTGAAAAAGGTGATCTAAAGATAACCTTAACCACTTTCTTTTCTCTTTCTAAACAGGGGTCAGTGGTCAACAGCTGAATCAGAGTCCTCATTCATTGTCTGTCCAGGAAAGAGAGGATGTCCCCATGAACTGCACTTCTTCAAGCACATTTAACACCTTTCTATGGTACAAGCAGGACCCTGGGGAAGGTCCTGTCCTCTTGATGGCCTTATTTAAGCCTGGTGAATTGACCTCAGATGGGAGACTGTCTGCTCAGTTTGGTATAACCAGAAAGGACAGCTTCCTGAATATCTCAGCGTCCGTGCCTAGTGATGTAGGCACCTACTTCTGTGCCGGGCAACACAGTGCTCCCCAAGCACCTGCAGCCTGTACTCAAACTTGCAGCTGGAACTCCAGTCTCTATGCTGCCTTCAGCTCTTAGTTGTCTGGGCATGAAATGTGATTATGCATGCCGCCTTTGCCCCTGTCATTCCATCACTACAAACTCTCCTTTATCCAAGGATTCGTCCTCCAAAGATTGTGCTCTTTGCTTGATAAACTTGCTCCTCTGAATTCATTTTTAATGTATGTAATAGATTTTCTTAGTTATTTCTGCCATGATATGAGGAGAATTGATCAACACACAATTACAGCAGAAGATTTTAGTAAGTTTCTCTTTTAAAATGGATGATGTCAATAAAGTAAAAATGAGAGTCCAGAAATAAATCCATAAATCTATGGTCAATTTATTGCAACAAGACCATTCAATGGGAAAAGAATAGTCTTTTCAACAAGTGATGCTGGGACCACTGGATAGCCACCATTTGATCTCTACCTCACACATGTACAAAAGTTAACTCAAATGGATTAAAGGTCTAAATGTAAGATCTAGAAGTACAAATGCTTAGATGAAAACATAGTTGTAAATCTTGATGACCTTGGACTACACAACAATCTCTTACGTACAACACCAAAAAAAGCAACCAAAGGAAAAATAGATAAATTGGGCTTTATCAAAATTAAAATCTTTGTGCATCAAAATTCACAAAATTTTCCACAAAGGGAAATGAAAAGATAACCCACATAATAGAAGAATATATTTGCAAGTCAAGTATATCTGATAAGGATTTAATATCAAGAATATATTTTTTAAACTCTTACAACTTAGCAATAAGATAAATGCCAATTTTAAAATGATTTAAACCATCATTGCTCCAAGGAAGACACACAAATTGTCAAAAAGTATGTAAAAAGATGCTCAACATTATTATTCATTGGGAAAATGCAAATTAAACTAAAATGAGCTGCCACATCACACCCACTAGGATGTTCATAATTTTTTAATAAGGAAGAAGAAGAAAGAGACATGGAAGATTCTAAATGTTGGTAAGGATGGGGGAAATTGGAATCGTCATCCACCGCTGGTAGGAATGTAAAATAGTACAGACACATTAGAAAATAGTTTGGCAGTTTCTCAAATGACTAAACACAGAGTTACCATTTGACCCAGCAATTACAGTCCTAGATATCTAATTAAGAGTTTGAACATGTGATTTATTTCATTGGCCAGAATCACATCATATGGCCAGCACTAATTGCAAGGGTGGTTGAGAAAGGGAGCATTTAATTTGTCTAGCCTCTAAAAAAGAGATGAGCATGAAAGATATCGATTGCGGATAAGTGTTGGTTTAACTATCCAAAAACATCTGCCACATCATACAAGGTCCTCATTCCCCAGAAGAGACTCTGATGATACATCTTGATATTCTTATTACTGTTATTATCCTAACAGCATGTGCCAAAGGAAGCTGAAGTCTGTTAAGAGCTCTACAGAGCTGTTCAAATGTAGTATTGGTTTTGCTCCAAAAAATACACTGTAGGTTTTCTTCCTTGCAAATGTTCTGCGGGAAATCAGTATCTCTCAAGAGGCATCAGCTGATGTTTCAGAGGAAAGATGGTCCACTGCCCCTGACAGTGATATGGGCAGTTCCAGGCAGTTCTTAAAGCTAGTCGCTTTAATGTCTCACAGAGATCATGCTCTTAAACGTCAATACGGAATTCACTTCCCTCTCCCTGAGAAGCAGTCCCCTGAAGACCCAGCACAATATTTCCATGGGTCCCGCATGTGCATATGACATAGCCCTCAAAATCCTAGGAATGTTTTAATTGAGGTAATACTTTCACAGCTATTTATAGGATCTCCAGTACTATTCTTTTCTCAGGAACTTAAAAAATGGGTATTAGCTAACCACGGATAACCATGTTTTCTTCTCCCTTTCCCATTCCTGTTCAGCTGTGTGTAGGCAAATCTACCGTCCCAACTTTCTCGGCGTTGAAGCCGTGGTTTATTTTATAGCAGGCTTTCTATTTTATGTTATTTTTAACTTTTATTTCAGGTTCAGGAGTACATATGCAAGCTTGTTATGTAGGTAACCTGCATGCCACGGGGGTTTGGTGTACGGATTATTTCGTCACCCAGGTAATAAGCACAGTACCTGATAGGTTTTTCAATACTCACCTTCCTCCCAGCCTTCATCCTCAAGAAAGCCTGGGTGTCTGTTGTTCCCTTCTTTGTGTCCATGTGTACTCACCATTTAGCTCCCACATATAAGTGAGAACATGTGATATTTGGTTTTCTTTCCTGTGTTAATTTGTTTAGAATAATGGCCTTCAGCTCCATCCATGTTGCTGCAAAGGACATGATCTCATTCTTTCTCACGGCTGTGTAGCATTCCATGGTGTATATGTATCACATTTTCTTCATCCAGTCTACCATTGTTGGGCATTTAGGTTGACTCCATGTTTCGTTAATGTGAATAATGCTGCGATGAATATAGGTGTGCACGTGTCTTTCTCGTAGAAAATTTATATTCCTTTAGGTTTATACCCAATAATGAGATTGCTGGGTCGAATAATAATTCTATAGATGGCTTTCAAAGTGTGGGCTAGTATTGAAGGTAAAGATTGCCTTATTCATTTCTGTATGCTCCTCTGTTCCTGGCACAAACAAGACAGTCAATTTAAAATGTTTACAGGAGAGGCTGGGTGCAGTGATTCACACCTGTAATCCCAGCACTTTGGGAGGCCAAGGCAGGCAGATCACAAGGTCAAGAGTTCGAGACCATCCTGGCCAACATGGTGAAACCCCGTCTCTACTAAAAACACACACACACACACACACACACACAAAAAATTAGCTGTGCGTGATGATGCACACCTGTAGTCCCAACTACTTGGAAGACAGGAGAATCACTTGAATCCAGGAGGCAGAGGTTGCAGTGAGTCGAGATCACACCACTGCACTCCAGCCTGGTGACAGAGCGAGACTCTGTCTCAAAAAAAAAAAAGTTACATGAATTAAGGGGCAAGATGCTAATTAATTCTCACATCTGTGCCTCTGTGCCACCCAGAAATGCAGAAGGGAGCTTATAACCAAAAAACTGTGGGTAAAATTATCTGACCTTCATGGGGACAGTATAAACTATATTCATAAGCAGTAATAGAACATGGCATTATTTACTTTATTGTGGTGTTGTCACATCATCAATCTCTTACTTCATGTTTCTGGGTTTTGTTTCTTGTTTAAGATCTAGAGAATTAGGCCACATTATCATTGTCTCAAAAAAGTAGTCTTGGAAACCAAGTGATCCATCACTTCATCTCAACTGGGCAATTCAGCTTTTCTGGAACGCAAATATGTTTGTCTTCACCTTGAGATATGAACTTTCTAATTAGTAATTCTTTTTCTTAGTGATCATAAAAATGAAGCAAGAAATTACTAGTCTTCCTAGACTTGAACAATGCCTACATAGATTGTATGTATTTTACTAAAAATAGACATTCTTAGACAATGACAAGAAAACTATGTAATAACATTTATGGAATGGAATGCAACCAAATCTATACTCCAAGTATATTAGCGAAGGCCAAACTATTCTAACAAATATATACCAAACGTTCAGAGGCTTAATGAACAAAGTTTGTCTTTCTTGTGAAAATCTGGAGCAGATATTCCAGGTCAGCAGATGACTCTGTCTTACATGATCTTTGAGGAACTGAGGTTATTCTAATTTGGGGACTCTGCTATTTCTCATAGACTTACCATCATATGCAGGGTCATGGCCTGGCTATGCCAGGTTTCAGTAAGCAAGGAGATGAAAGAGTGGGTATGGAGCAGGCATGACCACTCACTTAAGAATCCTGGACAAGAAATAATAGAATTACTGACTCCTAGGATTATGGACAGCTTTGGGTAGCCTGTCCTTTCATGGTGAGACAATTTCAGAAGTATCTACTGTCATTCATAAAACATGCGGACACTAATTTTCAGCTATTCTGCACCAGCTCACAAGATGGCGGTGTTCTATTTTGAATGACTCCCATGGGTGATTGAGTGGGAGGGATTTGAATTTAAATAGAACCAAATGACACTTTTTTTAATGGTTGGCTGAATCACCAAATTGCTATTTCCCTTTTTCTGAGTGTGTGTCTGTGTCTATGTGTGTGTATGTGTGTGTGCATGCGCACGCACACAGGCAGACGCCAGGGGTAGAGTGTGATGGTTCAAAAAGAAAAGGAAATGCTTAAGGTAGTGAATCATGTTTTGCCCAGGAAAACATACTTGATAATTGAAGGATGATGAAGTGTTCACAGGCTTTACTAGCGATCTTTTGGCTTCTACTGAGCTGTAAGTAGGGTTACTATAAAGGGTCAGGGGCAACCAGGAAACCTGAGGATTGATCCTCAGAAGACTAAGAGGGTAAAGTAGACTTCATTCTGACTTAATGTCTGGGAGCCCTATGGTTCTAACGGTGAATAATAATCACATTTTTCTACACAGGGGTGAGCAGTGAAGACAAGGTGATGCAAAACCCTCTATCTCTGGTTGTCCACGAGGGAGACACTGTAACTCTCAACTGCAGTTATGAAGTGGCTAACTTTCGAAGCCTACTATGGTACAAGCAGGAAAAGAAAGCTCCCATATTTCTATTTACGCTAACTTCAAGTGGAATTGAAAAGAAGTCAGGAAGACTAAGTAGCATATTAGACAAGAAAGACCTTTACAGCATCCTGAACATCACAGCCACCCAGACCAGAGACTCGGCTGTCTACCTCTGTGCTGTGGAGGCACAGTGCTCCCTAGTCACCTGCAGCCTGTACTCAAATTCTACAGCTGAAGCTCTGCAACTGTAAGATGGGGAACTTGCTATATTGAGCAAGCCCTCAAAAATAAACTATAAGGAAAAGCAGTTATTGGTCAAGATCCTTGTGCCCATGTTGACAACTACTTTTGCAGTTTACTGAATCCTAACTCAGAGTCATATTATTGCATTCACTCCCTTCTCTGTGAGTTTTCTATGGGATTCAGCATAGCTAATATTTCTAGAAGGTCACTCAAGATACTAACTCCATTGCCACACCCTTATGCCCTGTGATAGAAAGCAAACCCCTTTACCAGGATTGTACAGGCAACTGATATGTGCACTACACATTAGGGTATCTGCCTAACAGCTATGGATGTTTTAGCTTCCTTCCCAGAACAGATACATTTGTAGGTAAAGTTCTGCCTATAACATTTTTTACTGGACCTACTGGCAAAGAACAAAGGGTAAGAGCAAGCAGGTATCATTACTTGATTAAAACAAAAGCTTTTCATTCTCAATTGCATTATTCTTACTCACTATCTTCATTCTAGGATTGTTGCCTATTCTGGGTACTTCATTAAA